TGCCGTTTGGCTACCTATGATGAAACCGAAATACCCCTCGACGCCATCCACATCTGTCACTCGCCTCAGTATCACGCAACCCAGCTTTCACCCTGTCCTTCTCCACCTGCTCTCTCCATCCCAATCGCGGACGACCCCTTCCTACCACTCCTTCAACCTCGAACTCCAACGCTCGCCTAATCCCGACCCTTTCATCCCTTCTCAACACATGTCCATACCATCGCAATCTCGATCTCCTTATCAATGTCACAATGTCCTCATTCAGTCCCATCCTTGACATCAGCTCTGTACTACTCCTCCTATCCTTCACTTTAACCCCACACATCATCCTCACCATAGCTTTTTCAGCCCTCTGCAGTACACTTTCCTCCTCTCTCCTCAACACCCAAGTTTCACCACCATATACCATCGCTGTTCTCACACATGCTTTATATATCCTCCCTTTCATCTTCACTGACCATTTCTTTCCACACAATACCCCACCCAGTTCCCTGAATTTCATCCATCCTACACGAACTCTAGCCGTAACTGCGCTCAAACATCCTCCATCCGCGTTCAGCTTATCCCCTAAGTAAACAAAGCTTTCCACTCTTTCAATACCACCACTCAACCCCGTCCTTGTGTCCGTCCTATTAATCGCACCATGAACACATTTCTTACATTTGAACGTGCCTTCCCCCTTTTTCAGTGCCCCCCCTCACACCACTACATATCTTATGCACCCATTTCTGACATCCTATACACAATACCGAGTTAGCCTTCACTCTCCTGCCACATACCCCACAGGGGTCTATTTTACTTATCACTAGCTCCCCACCTTCCCCACTCACCATTACCTTCGTCTTACCAATATTAACTTTTAACCCTTTCTTTTCAATAACACTTTTCCATCTTTCAAATTTTAACTGCAATTTTTCCATGCTATCAGCCATCAAGACTAAATCATCTGCATACAAATCTCAAATAACAACCCCTCCATTATGTTTTCACACACAACACCCATCACAATTGAAAACAGAAACGGTGATAACACTGATCCTTGATGCACTCCTACCTTAACACTAAAAGCGTCCGACATCCCCCTTCCAACTCTCACCTTTGTCTTTGCCCCTTCATACAACTGCATCACAGCTTTAACAAGTCTCTCAAATTACTCATTAAACAACCTAGCTAAATTATTTAAACAATTTTGCAATTCTTTTCTATCTTTATTTTTGTCAACAATTCTATTGCATAATTTTGAATCATATGCATACAAAAGCAAATTAACTGAAAAACCATTATTGATGATATTAAACATGTCATTAATGAATATTATAAATAACATTGGTCCTAGGACACTGCCTTGAGGCACTCCACTTGTCACAACAAAACTATCTGAACAAACTCCAATCATCTTGACAATCGATTGACGTTTTCCCAAATAATCCTTTATCCAATCAACCAGATATTTGTAGACAGTTTCTCTACCATTCGTATCAGTTACAGCCAAATGAGCCACATAATGTTGACTTTTTTTTGTTGACATGCATCCAAAAAATTTTGTTATTATCTTTTATTTTTTTAGCCATAATGATTGCTTCATTTTGTCTAACATTTACCACCGCTCTTTTAATCTTATTTCTGAGTTCCTTAAACTTATCAATTATGATTGCTAAACTATTTATTTTTTACTTTTTTAGCTGCATTATTTCCTCTGTTGCTTTCAAGTTTGTGTACGTCTGTTAAAGTGCCACAATGTCCTTTCATACTCAACGTGCTTATTTTCACATTTGAGAACCAATTTATATCATACACCAGGCATATTCAAATTTTTACTAACAAACGTTGAGGAGTCTTTTCATATTCCTTCCTTTCAGATATGACTTGACCCATATGTATATTAATATTAGGATTAGCCATATTTTTTTTCTAACAAGTCCAAAATATGGTAGCATCATCAATGACAGTTTCTAAACTTTTTAATTCGTCATCAAGTTTAAAATTATACATTAAAATTGTCCAAAACTCAACAATATTGAAATGGGACTAGCCATTTGAATAAAAACCCAGAAAAGTTCATTTCATTAACACAAAATTTGTCCACCATTTTACAACAAATACTTTTAATTCTAATTGTGTATTCAAATAAATTCTCACGTTAAAAAACTTACTAATTTGTTTGATTTTTAAAAACGCGGTCATGGTTGGCACATTGTTTTTACGTTTCAATTTAGAAATTCTCATAAAGTTAATAAATTATTTTTGTAGTTTTTATAATATTGTTTATACAGAATAGCATGAAATTTTATTTTTAAATTTAAAATAATCAATTTATGCTAATAACTATTCCGGAAAAAATTAATGCAACCCTTTTTGTATTTTATAAACGGATCAAGACATGCAAATTCAATTATTTCATATTGTGTATTAATTATTAGCAATTATATTAATAAGTTTGCTTCAAAAAAATTTAAGATCAAGTTTATGAAACTGCTCATGTGCATGTATTTTAATAGTCGTTAAAATTTTCCCTATTATATTCGCTGCGAAATATTTAAACTCCGAACCTTGTCAAACTAAATTAAAAACTGCAACTGATTTTAAAATTTTTGAACTGACAAATACTTTTTGTTTGTCAAGGATTTTCATAGCGTGGTAGGTCTCATCATCAATTTTCTGCACTAGCATCACTCTACCAAAAGATCCGGTTCCAATGGTTTTGATGCGATCAAAATCTTCCAAGCATGCTGTATTCTGTTGAATATTTAAGGATAATTTTATTAACATGATGAATATTTTAAACAACTTTTTTTTTCTTAAAGATTTTAACGGCACTGCAGCTCCCAAGATGGTGCTATAATGTGCCAGTAATTTTATTTTTTTATTTTATTTTAATTTTTGTTTACTTTTTTTTCATAATTATGTAGTTATTATTATTACATCTTCAAAATCAATCACAGTCGAAAAGGAAGAATCCGATCAAAATAAATCAAGATATCAATCCAGAAAAATAAATGATAATCTTGGACTTAAGTATATTTTAAGAGGTAAGGTTGTAATAGTTTATTCCAGTCTTTTTAAGTTGACGGGTAACAGATTCAATAACCACACCATAGACCAGAAGCACCTGAAGTTGACGTCAGCACGAAGAGAGAAAACCCACCTACCGTTCGCCAGTCCCACCAACCAATGACTCTCACTCCAGTGCATTCACTCTATTTCAAAAACATTTTGAGTATTTAAGTTCCTGGTATGTCGCTTGGTTTTTCACCATGGAGGTCACCCACAGACGGCATTCGACACAAAATTGAAAAAATTATAAAGATTAAGGATTCTCTCTTAGCGGCACACGAGCTTCCACCATGGTATTTAGCCACTGTAGATTCTCGATGCACCTTGAGAGAAATGCAAAACTGCACAAATCCTCTCGAAGATTAGAGTTTTCACTATGGTATTCAGCCAGAGCAGGTTTTACATAACATAACTAACTAGTTGAATCATTAGTAACTGAATTTAAAATTAAAATTAATTGATTGATCATTTTTCTAATTGTTGAAATAAATAACTGAAAATATAATTAAATAGAATATATTAATTGATTCAGGTAACGATTATGCTTTCAACGGGCCCTTAGACAAATCCAAATCTGGGTTCTTATTTTTTAAAATAAATTACCACAGAAACGAAATATTAAGTTAAATACCAACTAAAGTTTTTATTCTATAATTATTTTCCAATTCCATTAAACATTAATACATTTAAATTGCTAAATATTTTTCTTTTCAATTATACATAGGAATTGAACTAAACCACTTAGCATGAACATTGAACTGGATGCACTTGCGCCATTATATAAGTACACACCATTATAGAAGTACTCAGGTCCGGATTGAAGAAGTTCAAAAGAGTCCGAGCCTTAGGCCACCCACTAAGCAGAAGCCTTCCACCAATATAGCGACATAGTGATGAACACCTCAAAACAATTAAAATTTCCATCTTTTTAAATCTATGTTTTTTGCTAAGTGCATTTCTTTCTTTTTTAATTTTTTGAGAAGCCCTTCCTTTTTCTACAACTTCAAAGCATAAGCATCTATTTCTGATTGAGGCAATGAAAAATATTGATTCAACAACATCACTCTCAAACGTGCTACATACAACGCGTTGTTCCTTCAGAGCTGACGCTTTTAAAACTCTTAAGGAATTGTTAGATGAAACATTTACTAAAACGGGTCTTTGATGACTGAAAAAATGCGTATATGCAATGTGAAACAAAAAGATTGTTGTTATAAATAAATCTAATCAAAATTGGCATTAACATCATTTTATAAAATCACATCCTACAAAAAACGGATGCTACTTACTATCAATAGTAAAAATTTACAACTCGCAAAATTGAATTTAACCGCTGAAAAACTATGTAGCATCATAAGTACATTTTTTCAAAATATTTGAGTAGTGATGCGAAGTTCTGGGTATGCTGAGAAAAACTAGACGACAATTGTCATTCTGTCGTAATTGAAAAATACAGCATATACTTTATTAAGTATTATTGACCAGCGTACCGTTTTTTGACTTACTTCTTTAACCATACAAAAATATTCAAAGAAAATTCAGCTTTTTCAGCCGCTTGAAAAATTCTTTGGATAAGCTTCAAAGCGATTTGTCATTTGAGTTAGACATTACTTTTTAAATAAACTGATAATTTAATATACGAATTAGCATATTCAGTAAAAGTGCCGTGTCTCACGCTGTTATTACGAAATGGCCTGGTTTGAATACACTTTCTTCGAAACTCAATATTATTATACGCTATGACTTCTGACCAGGGTCGGTAATATCAAAGTATCGGTATCACGTCTCTAGATCGCCAAAATTTTTTTGGTATTGGTATCACCATTGTCAATACTTTTTAATGTAAGTATCGCATTTTTATCGGAGATAAATTTAGAAACTGTCGATATTCCGTACCGATAATTTTTAATAAAAAAGCACAAGTTTTTCAATGGCAGCGTTTTTTTTGCTTTCGTAATGGGGAAATCGTGATGTAATTTTATAGATATACATTTTCACTTTTGTTAAATAACAGTGATTACATGTTTTGTTTTTAAAATTGCATTTCAATTTTTTTAAAAATTTAACTTTGTTTAAAAAAGTGTCGCTAGATATGTTTTGGCGATGCCAATGCTTTTGAAGATTAATATCGTCTTCTTAAAATACAGCCGTTATTTTGTTATTTTTTTTTCAAAAAGCAAGGTCTAACGCCTTGAATTCAAGAACTAAAAACTTATCAGTTTTAGAAATTTGGTTGACTAGACTCGACCACGTGGCCAAGGCAGCCCTTGATTTAGTCATTAAAAAAGTATCTGTTCCTTATCAAAATTAGTCCTCTATCAGCTTAGATACATGTTCTTAATTATACCAAATAGACATCAATCACATTCCCGTGAACACAACAACGTCTGCTACGGAGTATACTTAAGCCTATGATAATGAGGAAAACTACAGAGACTATGTTCCTAGATTCAATTCGTCTCGTTTTGGGAAGAGAAGATTTTTTGTTTTGTCTGCAAAAATCTGGAACTCACTACCTGTAAATTTGAAAAAATTCAACAACCTGAGACGACATGTTTTCAAGAAACGTTTGAAACATCATTTGTTTTGACATTCTCGAGTGAAGCTAGCGCTTCTGAAGTTATACGGCGCTACACAAATTTAGGATACAGATACAAATGTTACGGTTTGCAAATGGAACTTGATAAAGCTAGTTGTCAATGTATAAAGTTGTGATAAGAATGCGGTCCTGATCCGGCCATTTAAAGATTGCGGACCCTAGACATCTGTCTCATTCAGTTATTCTGGATTTGGATTGGATTGATTGACGCAATTACTGATTATTTAGATCATTAAATTTATTTAGTTGCATGTATTCTTTAATTGTTCACTCTTATACTTATAGAAAGAAAGATGTGTATCGATAGTTTAATATTTCAATAAAATCAATGCTACTTGTTGTTAATAAATTCAAAATAATTATCTACCTTCGTAGGTTTGTTCCACAGTTTTTCAAAATCTTCTTTACTTTTTTGTAAATAAAATTTGTCTGCAAAAAAATTATAACATAAACTGATGTCAACAAGTTAACATATTATAAATAACAGTAGACTTAATTATTTTCATGATGCGTTACTTGACACCATAGTTGGTAGTATTTAATTCAAAACATTATTTATCATTAACATATATAACAATTTTTGTGAAAGATTGTTAAGGATGCAAATTGTGAATGTATTGACCTGTGCATGTATTTAACAATTTTTGGAAAGGCTAAAACGTTGTAAAAAGCAAGCCGATTAAAGGGAAAACTGGACTTTAAAGGTTCAGCAATCAGTAATCAAATCTTAAAATTTTTGAGAAACATACTGAAGCACTCGTAAATAGTTCAAATATGAAAAATTGCACAAAAAAGGAATCCTGAAGTTTTAAGCGTCTAAAGCGGTTTGATAAATGGTTTTACACAAGTTGAAGTTTGCAAAGTTGATTCATGACATAGAAAAAATATCTTAAACTATTTTTTGATAAATTGATGCTGTTTGATAATATTTTTTACACAAGTCGAAGTTTGCAAAGTTGATTCATGACATAAAAAATATACATTAAATTATTTTTTAGCAAGAACATTTTTCAAATAGGTTACAATCGTACCTTTGTAAAAACAAATTTGATGGTTCTAGGAAAAAATTTCGTTATATAGAAATATTTTTTTACATAGAATTTGTCCGGAAAAATTGTATATTGCTTAAAGGGTGTTGATAACAAAAAGTAATAATACTTTGTATAATTGTAAAAAAAAAATAATATTTTAAAAGTGAAATTTATTCTTTGTTTCATACAAAAATAATTTTGATTCTATTGAAATAAATCGAGGTAGCTGGTAGAATTTGCAAAAATTACTAGAATTCTACGACAAGAAACAATAAATGTGGTCAAAGATATTAATATTAAAGAAGTATAAAAACACTACTAATATCAATTCATAGAATGCGTCCTGGTTGGATATTTTTTATAACCTTTATAAATTTTGTTCGTTATAGAGAATTTATGTACTTTCTATAGAAACGGTCTTTCATTTAAAATTCTAATGAACAAACAATTTGTTATATAAAGTTTTATAAAAGTTCGATATAAGGAAATCCGACTGAAATTAGTTTTGAAAATTTTAATGAGGCAGGGCACTACCTCTCGAGCGTACCACATTGGTATTCCTTAGCCACGGGAACTCAATCCAAACATTCATGCTGTGTTGTATAAATTAAATTAATAATGCTATAAATGGTATTTTAATTGACAATTTTATTTTAAAATTTAAGTTTTATAAACATTTCATTATAAAACTAACAAACACTACTATAAACCAAAAATGACATGTTTGGAGTAAAATTCAAGGTTTCAAAAAAAATTTTATAACATTAACGGCCAGTAATTTGTTTTAAAACAGTTTTGTTTTATATTTTGTCTTTATTAGGTGGCTTTGTATAATTTTTATAAAACGGGCTCGTTTTATAAAGAATCTCGTGTTCTTTGTCCAAGGAATGGTTCAGATAGTTATTATGGAACAAAGCAGTCTGTAATTATTAGCAGATTGAAAAATTAATGTTTCAGAAAAAAATGTATGTATTGAAGTTAATGCTATTGGTGAATGTATTTGTATGCAATGATGGCAGCAAAAATTTTTATCGACAGCCACTTCTGCAACAACAGTATAATATTTATGAAAAATAACTCAATTTTTGCACACTTGCTTGTATGTACCTTGCTTCTACGCAGGTAAATGCAAGCATATTAATTTAATTCGCCTATCAAATGCTTTTGTACCTGGTTTCTCTAAATTTTAGATTTTTTCGATCGAATTGGTATCGTGGAATAAATTGCAATAAATTCAAATTTTTTTTCTGTTATTATATAAAATTTTCTAACCCTAATTTTCATATTTTAAAAATTATACTGCTATAAATATTTTTTTAATTATACATCGAAAACTTGTCTTTTCTTCTCTTTTTACTTTCCCATCAAACGCTAGTTCTTTTTTCCTCTACTTATTTTTTATTTTATTTTTTTTATTTCTTTACTTTTTTTTCTCTCTACCTGGTATCAAATGCAAAACTTTCTACTTTATGTTATTTGGCCGATATTGTTATTAATTTATATTAATATATACAAATTATTTGGTATTATGGATAACGTGAATAACGGGGAGGTTTATATGTATGCAGATGATGCTAAATTTTATAGATTCATAAAGTTTGAAAAAGACAGTTATCTTGAAAAAACTGTTTGAATGCATTATCAATGTGGTGTGGGTCATCCAGTATTAAGTTAAATTGTGAGAAATGATTCGTTGTGAGATATGGTTTAAATAATGGTGACTCAGTATAAGTATGTTGTTGATAAACATCTTTTAAAGGGATGTAATAAAATTGATAATTTCGGAAATTTGTTTAATTACTCAATAAAATTTTCAAGACATATATATCAAAAAATTAATAAAAACAAATTTCAATCTTAGGTTCAATTTTTAGATAACTTAGAATTCTGACACTAGACGCCTTTCTAATATTATACAAATCTTTAGTTTAATTCCAGGTAAAGTATGCTGCATCTGTATGGTTGCCATGGACAAAGAGGGAAGTTTGAGCAATTGAACGGGTAAAAGAAAGGGCTACAAAAATGATCAACGCTTTCAAATATTTAAAATATGAAGATCGTCTAAGGCATTTAAACCTATCTACGTTTAAGTTCAGAAGGATAAAAGTGACCTCTTAGTTTTGTATAAAATGATGAAAAGTGATGACAAGAGCAGTTTTCCATAACTAAAGCTACATTGTGATGACAGAACGAGTGGGCACAACGAATTTGAATGGAAAATTGTACAAATCTAATCCGAAAAAAATCATTCCACAAAATGAAAATTTGGAATGGTTTAAATAAAGAAATTGTGAATGCTTCAATATGGTATACATATATATTAAAACATATCACTGCATTATTTCAGTTTTTATTAGTTTCTGGTTCATACCGTATTTTTATCACTGTTTTATAATTTAATTATACAGAAAACAAAATTTTTAACTGCTTTTCTGGCCATTTTTATTTTATACAGAAAATTACGGAAGTACATTTTATAAAATTAAAATGTTAATAAAAATCTATAGATCTCTAGACATCTGGATGAAAATCTGCCTTGTGATCTTGTTTGCGCTATGCAAAAATGTTGCCGTGTAACTTATCTGCTTGTTTTTATGTTCCAGTGCAACACATGTTCAATCTCATTTATCGTTTGATTTTTATTCTTGAATCACGCGTGTAATATTTAAGATTTAAATATTCCAATTTTTTTATTAGTTGAATTAAAATGTTAAAATTGTAAATAAATATTTTGCATTCAAATGCAAAAATGGATATCCCTCGCTCAAATGCAGCAACAGATCAAAAAACAACCTTTCTTTTCATGGGTACCGGTTGAATAATTCTAATTTATTATTGAAATAGATTTATGGCACGAAGGTTTAAATACAGAAATGGTATGTAAGCGGTTCTGCGTATGTCAGAACTACATAATAAAGAAAAAAACACCAACAGCACCAAGATCTGCAACAAAATCCCCAGCTGAAACTTGTCGTGATTAGGCAGTTAAAAAAGTTGAAATAGCCGCCGATGAATATTTAAACGAGGATGTTATAACCAGCTACAAACCTGAGAAATTATTTAGACGATTATTGAAAGAAGACACATTTCCCTCGGATTCAAATTACAAGCTGATAGACAATTTCAATTTAAAAATAATTAGGTTACTTAAGTTCAGCTACTCTATCCATTTGAGTTCAGTTATTCTATACTCCATAGTTTATCTTTACTTTAAATAGCATTTTGTTTATCCGTTTGAGTCTAGAACTCAAATGGATAACCAACATGCTAATTAGCAATGGTTACAAAAGAACATTCATTGAAAAAATTATTAGCAAAAATGATCGTGATGTAACAAAAGTAACAATGACAAAACAACAAATGACATAATACTTTATTACAAAAATACGATGTCAATAGCTTATAAAACCGATGAAATAATAATAAAATGGATTGTAAACGGTAATGTAAAAACTATCAATGAAAATGATAAATTAAAACTTAGGATTTGTTACACGAACCACCAAACTCATTCCTGGTTCTTAAAAATAATTGCAATACTAAACCAGAATCGATATTGAAGAGCAGTCATCTAGTATAATCTTTTGATTGTAAAATCTGTGGTTGTAGGCACCGAAACACAGAACATATCAACGACTTTATCAGGAAGGTTAACAATGCATACACAAAATGGTGTAATAAAAAATTATCTAATGGATTCACACCAAATAAAAAAAAAACAAGAGAAATATTAAATTCAAATACCAAAGCGTTATTTTACAACCATAATATAAGCAATTTGAGAATGGCAGAGGCTTTGTTAATAGAAATTAGAAACCATGTAATAAACATCCAACAACAGGCTGTAACGATTCTACCAACAAAAAAATTACTCACACAAAGAAACATGGAACTTGTTAAAAATACTATAAATACCAGATGAAC